TTTTAAATATCCAGAAATTTAAATTTTGAGTGTCTTGAAAAATTGGAAATCAATGTGTTCTGTAGAATTGTACTTTAATACTTCTGCAACAGCTCTTATTCTGTAATACTGAGTGCTCCAACAAAATACTTGAATAGCCACCAAATTCAGAATACTATGATGATGTCAGAGATAATATGTATGTGTTTTCTCTCTCCATAGTTTTCCCATCTAGCTGTGGCTTTATTACAGTGTAAACAGTCGATTCCGTTAGGTTTTTCACAGCTGGGGTGATAATGTTTGAGCTGCTGAATGGCATTATTTCTTTGTCTGTGCCGGAGTTCTCATAATTTCTAGCAATCCTTATAAACGTGTTTTTGCAAGTCCTAGGACCCTATTCCATTTTAAGTATAGCTTTGTGAAGTTTGAGAGTCAGGGATCTTGGAGGCAAACTGTGAAAAGACGTTGTTAGGGAATAATGTAAATTAAAATTTTAAGGGACATTGGTAGGACGTTTCCACTCAGGCTCTCTTCCCTCTCCCTTCCTTCCCTGCAGGGTATGCATATGAACCCTGCCTTCTGTTGCTCTCTGCGTGCCAGCATCTGTAGGAGACTGGGTCCTAGTATATGTTTACACTGTTTTGTATGCAGATCTGAGCTGGGGTGTTCCTACACTAAGTAGGAAGAAGCTGCGAGAGCTTGTGCCTTGTTCAGCAAAGCTAGACCCAGCGTATCGATAAGGATTACTTGTTTGTACATCTGCTAATATTGCGTGGCTTTGTCCCTCTCTTGGAGCAGAGACAAGAATAAGATGGCTGCTCACCACATATAGTGTAAATACATTGCTATCTTGTCTGCACCATCTGTGTGAACAGATCTGAGGAAGTCCATGAGGGTCACAGAAATTCAGATCTTTATAAACCTGGAAGTGATAATTTAGTGTATTACATGTCACAGTAAGATGAGGGGAGGAGGGGGGCCACTGTAGGATAGAGTGTGTCACAGTCTGATGATGGGGAAGTGCAGCTAAAGAGACAAGGTAAAAGCAGGGAGTTGAAGATAAGGTAGGCTGGGTAACACCGAGGCACAGGGCCTTCGTTAGGAGATCGACTGTTTAGTAAGTGGGACTTTCAAGTGATTAATGGCTAACTGAACAGGAAGACCTGTGTGAGCTGGAAGTTGGGTAAGGGGCATGGGGAGAGAAGAAAGCGAATAAATGCTGTAGGATGAATAAATGCTGCAGGAGGTGGTTGGAGAGAAATGGTCTAATGAACGTGGATTTTGGATAACTTGCGCTTTAAGCAGAAAGAGGATCTTAGTCTTAGCTCTGTGCTTTGCAATACCTGGGTGGAAAGTCTGAGCTTTCAAACTTAATACAATAACAAGTTTCTGTTATAAACTTTATTCTCATTTCCCTTCATGCTTGTCTAGCAAAACTAGTTTTTACCTGAAAATTTCTAGGTCAGCTCTGACAAAAAATGCTTTTGTGCTGTGTTTGTGTAAACAAACATGACAGTTGTAAACATTCTTTTGATCTTTGAATCAATGTAGATTTAAAATTTTGTCTTGTGAGCTATTCATAGCTTAAAGTGCTATTATAGTCTGATTGCTGTCAGATAAAAATAATTCTCTGCTTTGTAACTTTTTTCCCCTCTGCTGCATAGCAAGTTCAATGAAATAAGTATTTCATTGAGTTTGTATGTTTATAAAATTATAAAAAAACTTGTAGGAAGACAGATAAAGCAAAAATATTTGGTGTTGTGAGGAAACTAGTGCTGTTTAAGAGCATTAAATAGTGGAATGACTTGCGTCTATAGTGGTCTTTGATCTTCAATCTAGGTGTCTTGAGACTGTTAGGTATTTGGAGTAACAGTGAGAAGTGTTAAAAGGTCAAACCAAATCCTTATCTTGTTCCGTAAGGTGTAACGAGCAATGGCTAGGCCATGTTCAGGGAACGGGTGAGCACAGAATGATGATGGCTCCTCCAGTGTACACTGACTTCAACTGGGTGGGAGCTTCCCAGGCCTTGTGTGGTTTACAGATCCATTGCTGTCTGTCAAACTTCATTATCAATCTTCTATGAATTTAACTAATTTTTAAAGGTATTTTTTAAACTTCTGCCTTCCTGTAAAAATGTTGAATAGAATCATAAAAAAGAAGTTGGCCTTTGACTTTTCTAACCTGTGAGCTAGCTTCATTTGCCACCTTTTAGTCTTTGTCTGTGGAAAAAGAAAAAATAATTGTTTCCTGTGCGCACGGTACATTATTCTATATTGCTATTCTCCCTCTCTGTATATTATTATTATTATTATTCTCTCTACCCCTTTCACTCCTCTTTTCTTCACTGTCCATCTATAGCCTCTTTAATAGGCAGTAGTTCTATAATGCTGAGCATTATTGTTTCTCTTTTGTGCACCTTTTTCTAGTATCAAGAAGCTGTTTGCAATGTTGAAGATAAATGTCTGCTTCTACTCATTTTCAGTTACACCAGGAAGTTTGAGTTAATTTAAAGGATGATTTAGGTACTGTTGTATGCTCAACTGACCTTCTGTGAAGGTTCCTTCAGTTGTCTGAGGACTGTCTTTGCAGTAAGTGCCGAAAACAATCAGTCCGTCTGCCTGAACTTTCTGGAAAGATCAGTTTAATGGATTGAAAAATGTTCAGGATTACACCGACTGTTCTAAAATATCTCCTTCCTCACTGTGTTAATAGCAGTATAATATCTGTATATTGAAATATGATGTTCCTTCTCTAGTGGATCACCTGCAAACTCTGAGGCTGAAAAAAAAAAAGGGGGAAAAAAAAAAGGTGGTGATGCAGTATACATTCTCGTGACTTTAATGCCATCTAACCCACTAGAGCAAGCAGTTCCATTTTTGAAGAATATAGTCTTTCTGAGCTGCCTTTCAGGATCACTTGATTAAAAACTGTTGGATGGTTGTGCAGCCTCCGTACTTGGAGGTTTTCAAGACTTGCCTGTATAGAACCCTGAGCAACTCGATCTGACTTGATAGCTGAACCTGCTTTCAGCAGGAGGTTGGACTAGAGATCTTCTGTGGTCCCTTCCAACCTGAATTATCCTATGATCATGTATTTCTCTGCAACCCACAGCCTGTAGCGATATATGTTGAATAACTGCTGGAGCAGAGGAGTTTACATCTGGTAATTGCTGCCGGGAGTGGAGTAGTTAACGTCACTTCATTGAAAAATACTCACTTTAAAACTAAATTCAGTTTTCATTACTAAACAAAAGGAAAAAAAATTTAGCACTTTAATTGTTTACATAATAACACTTTTTGTGAATAGAAGGAAGTGTGTATTTATTGTGCCATAGCTGTAAGTTTGTGCAGTAGATTTTAGTTTGTATATGTGTTGTCTGATTTCAAAAATCATGATGTAAAGGGGCTGTGTGATTGGAAATAGTAGAATGTAGGAGTCCTCTCCCCCCCCCCCAAGCAAATACTGTGCCTTATCTTGCATGTTTTTGGCGAAGAAATGTCTGGTGCCAACCAAAATTTTAATTTACAGAATGGCTGACTTATGAGAGTATCTGATACTCACAAAGTCTCAGCTCTGAGTAGAAGGCTGGTTAGAGAACTTCTCAAATGCCTTTCCAACATTATATTTATGGCCTTTTAAATAAATATCTGTGACATACTTCAGTAATTACTTTCTGGAGATTCAGAGCTTTTGTAGGCTTTTCAGAAATACTGATCATCTATATAATACAGCTCTTGAAAATAGCTAAGTGCTAAATGGAAACATATTACCATGTTCCTGGAAGTCTGTTTAATGGCATGCATAAGTTAGGGACTGGTTTGTAAGTTTAGTGGACTTCAGGTGTATGCATCTTGTATCTCTATACATTGGCAGCTTTTGTGAACAGAATAAAATTGAATTGCTCTTGATTTCAGCTAGTCTTTGTTATTGGTTAAGATTAATTTTATGAAAGGGAGTGCTCTTTTTTTTCCTGTCTCTTGTTTCCAGCACTTTTCTCTAAAGTATTGCAAAGTGATATTTTCAGAGATGCACTAGAGGAGTTTTGGAAGGTCTTTCTGAGTCATACCAAGTGTTTCTGCAGTCGTTTCTCAAAAGACAAAACATTTCTCAGAATGATTTTGTTTTGTCTTAGATACTTAAATATTAAAAAATATGCAAGAACTGCTACTCTGTAGGTAAAATAGAGTCCTTTTTGTAAGACTTTTTTGGTCATAATTGTTGAGCAATGGAGTACAAAAGTCAATACATGTATTTCTAGATATTGAGTAAATGTATTGGGTCAAATACTCTGTTCTGCCATTTAAGCAGACAGCTATCAATGCACGAATATATATGAAAAAGCGTGGTAGATGTGGTGTGGTTCATAGAATAAATGTGGTATGCAGTTTTGCAGTCCATATAAGAAGAATATGCATCAAGCTTTAAAAATACATATTTCAAAGGATTTAAATGACAAAATAGTAGCTATTCCAAATATTTGCTTGAAAACGTTTGTCCTTTGGTTTACTATGTTCAAGCTGAAAAATCTCTTCTGTGGTTTGTGCTGATTGCCACATCTGTGTTTCCAGTATACGCCATATTTTACTTAATATTGATTTCCAGGTGGTTATTACTTCATCAGTGCCATATGTTTATGGATGTAAAATCATGTTAATATTTCTCAGGAAACTCAGATAAACCTGTGTGATGTCAGTAATGCCAAATGCTTCATGTCTTAAAAATGTAGTAAGTTTATTTTGACTACATATAAACTACACTTCATATCTCGTGGTTCTTTATCTTGCTGTTTCATTTTGTATCGCATTCCTGCGGTTTCCCTCTTCTTCAAAGAGCAGAGACTAGGTGTCAAAACTAATAGGGGATGAGTGTTTCTCTTCCATTTTTTCAGTACAGGAATGGTAGCTGAGTAGATGCTACTTCACAAGTCTATGAATGCAGGAGAACTGCTTAGAGAATGCAGTAAACCTCTTTTTGCTTTAAGGTGGAGATGGAGATATCTTACTGCCTTTCATTCTTCACAGGGTTACACATCGTTCTGGAATGATTGCATCTCCTCAGGGCTGCGTGGCTGTATGTTAATCGAATTGGCATTGCGAGGGCGTCTTCAGCTGGAGGCTTGTGGAATGAGGCGCAAAAGTCTATTAACAAGAAAGGTAAGTGGAGGAAAATGGTCACATTTACTTTTGTGTCATGCTCCAGGCAATAGAGTAGCTATAAATTACAACTGGTTGTAAGAAAAAGACTTTTTTTCTTTACCTGGGGATAGGGATTCTGAGTAGTAAGCTAAGTTAGATGCACAGAGTTAAAAGTGTTTAAAGGCGAGCTGAAGTGCCTTGGAAAATCTTCTGTACTAGTTCTGTGCTCCTGTTTGTTCTCTTGATGTGTTCTTGCTGCTGTTGGGAACCTTGCACAGTTGGTTGTGGCTCTGGCTAGGGTACGGTGGCAGCAGTTACTGCTGAGAGCCAGTAGCACCAGTTGTAATCTGCTGAAGGAACTGGCTTTTGCAATGTTGGTGAGATGTGGGCTGATGGAAAGGAACGGCTACCTGACAGCCTGCCAGATGTATCCTGCAAGCCACCAGTTTAATTCTTGTGTACACAGTGTTGCAGTTTGTGCTTGAAATGCATGAGAAGGAAAGGATCCTTGCCCTTGGGGCCTGAGAACACAAAACTGTATCTAGTTTAAGCTTGTGACCGGTGTGTTAAATGTGTTGTACTCGCTGACCTTTAAGATGGGCAAATTTTTAAGGTCCTTTATTGAATTAGGCTGAAGATTTGAGGCCTTAATATATTACTTTTGCTGCTGGATTTTTCCTTAGTACAAAATGTGTAAAATCACACTGCTTGAAGAATTTTTACTTCATCAGCATTAGAGGATGCTTGTAAAATAAGCTTATTGAAAACATGGTCAAATGTTGTATATCCACCACAAATAAATTCTCTTTTATGGCACATTTCCCTGTCAATATTATCTTTTGCTAAATTTTTTTAAAGGAAAGCTTACAAATCCCCCAACCTTCTCCCAGCTTCCTGTTCTTCTGAAGAATCGAACCTCTGTTCAGACAAACAACTCCTACTTCTTTTAGCTTCATTTAAGCATATTCAGCATTGATCGCACAATTTTTTTTTTCTTCCAAAGCTTTTGGCTCCTTAGGCATTCAGGAATGTTCTTTAGCAGTTATTTTCATTCTGTGCAAACCTTGTCAGCTCTATCTACCTGAAATTTTTAACTATGGTTTCTGTTTGTTTTTTTTTTTTTTAGGAAAATAAAAAAATAGCCTATGCATAACTTCAGTAAAGAATACAAGCAAAACTATTGTTGTCTTTTGTGGTGGTTTGTTTTTTGGGGGGGTTTTTTTTTGTTTTTTTGGTGGGGGGTTTTTGTTGTTGTTTGGTTGGGGGTTTGTATGGGGTTTTTTTGTTTTGTTAAATTTTATCGTGGTTTTGGGGGTGGGCAGGTGTGTTTTGTTTCTTCTCTCCTCCCTCTCCTTTGTTTAAGGAGATCTAAAAGCTACCCAGTATTACAGGTTTTGTTCTTTCTGCTGTTGTAAGGCAATTGAGAGATTTCTTTTTGCAGGCAGGAGGCTTCTATGAAAAAGGCTTTAATTTAAAATTCAAATGAAGATTGGATTCAGCTTAAGTAATTTCTTGCAAATAAAATCCCTAACTGCTGATGTATATGAGGTTTCTTCTCCCCCTGCACCACCTCTCTCAATTTAGAAATCATTCTCATGAATGACTTGTGTTGTTTTGTACCTTATTTGAAGTTTTGCATTAGCACCAAATTTCAGTCTTGTTTCTGCGTTGGTTAGATTTAAGTGTCTCAACTCTACCAAGTGTCCTCCTTCTCCTCATTTTGCAGGATTTGCTCCCCTTGCCCTCTGCTTTCGCTGCAAATTAAGTACTGTGCTTAGTGAGTGGAACGAGCTGTCTAGTTACATCCAAGGTTGTGATTCAGTGGCAACACCATTTTCTATAGCTTCTGCCTCTCAGGCAAGCCCTTCTTCCTCCTCACCCCAGGTGCATCCTTGGATTTTGCGGGAAGGTAAAACCTCCTTAAAACTCAAAGCTTTGATTTGTGAATCAAAACCCTGTACCTTCAAGCCATGGTCTGAAGGGAGGAATTTAGGCTTCAGTCACTTTAGCCTGTGTTGCAGCTGAGAAGAGTAGTCCTGTCTTTGCGAAGAGACTTATTGGAGTCTGTCTTGGGTTGTTACTAGCATTTGTGCAGCCTTGTCAGGTAACACCTCTGGCTGAAACCTAAGTCACTTCTTTGCTCAGTTTAGTTTTTACTTGAATCACTTTCTTGATCTTGTCATCAGGTGGGGCACAAGTGAGACTGTTGGCACAAGCAATAAGGTGAGAACAAGAAGAGGGTAAAACCATCTCTTTGGGCAGTAGTACGGATTTATAACCAGCTAACTGTGGTCATACAGCTGACTTAAAAGATTGCTAGCTACAATGATTTCCATTTCAAGCCTTAAATCAGGTGGATCTTTGATAATTTTTTGTAGTTTCTAAGACAGAACTTAAGAATGGATCAAGATGGCATTAAATCCATGCTTGAATGCCATAGAGGGACAAATGAGACTGAGAAATTGGCAGGCAAGGACTTGATGGATGTTAGTGAAACTTTGAAAGTCAATATGATGTATTTTATGTTGCAACATCCTTGTAAATTTGGCTTAAGAGTATGTAATCATTGTATCAGTTTGGAGTTCTATCTACTGGTATCAATTTTGGAAACACATAAATTAATGTTGAGGTTTATATATAAATAAATAAATAAATTTCTAAGACTAGTGGTTATTAAAGATAGAAGATGGTACTCTGTGCTGCCTTAGAGCCTCAGAAAGCAAACGAAATCATTAGAGTTCTTAAAAACAAAAGAAATCCCAACAAATCCTGGGCAGATTGACTTCAGTATTTTATAGCTGACAATTCTGAGTGATTCATGCATGAGTGAATTTTTGTATTAAAAGTAAACAATGAAGTTTACTTAAAAAGCAATGCAAGAAGTACTTAATCTTCAGTGTTCCTTAATTGCAAAGCTGCATTGTAGCAAATGCAAATTAAATATTCTGTATAATTGAAATTTCATCTGCGGTTAGATACAAGGCAAATGTAGTAGCTGATAAATCACTGAAAAATTGGAATAAAGATTTTCTGCAGGAAGGCTAAGGACCATCATCTCTGAAGAACCAGGGTCTTAGCTTCTTGCTCTACCCTAGGTCCTCTGTTAAAGAGAGGAAAAAAAAATTCCCCCTTGTGGATGCTTGATCTTCTGTGATAATTCAGTTCACGAGATCCCCAATCCACCCGATTTCCCACTCTTCTTGTGCTGTTATGACTCTGAAGAGACCCAGGAAGCATTCATCAATAAATCCTTCAAGAAAGAGCAGATCCATGAAGATAGAGAGTTGTCTGGGCTTCTGCTGTTGCCTGTTTCTATGTGCTGGGAAGGGGAGGGGAAAAGAAATACTATGGAAGGTGTGAACCAAAATGCTTTTGTTTGAGGGGAAGGATAATCAGAAGAATCTGTTCAGTGAATATTCAGTGTAGCAAAGAAGTGAGAAGAAACAGTGCTGTATGCCGGGGTGCAGAGAATGGTAAACTTGGAAACAAAATTGCTGTGCATTGTGGCTTCACAAGAGCTTATGGAGTCCTGACTGAGTTGAATGGGGGAGTCTATGCTCGTTACTGCTCTTTCCTCTAAATGCCTGTATGTTTAGGCTCGTTCTGTAATGGTGCTTTATATTCAGGCTAACTTCTTAAACTTCTTTGCAGTGCTAGAAAAAAGTATCTTAACCCCAAATAAGTAAGGAAAGCTGTTTTCTAAACTTAAAAAAAAAAAGCTTACATATATCCTAGACTTAAAGACATTTTTTATCTTTTCAATGAGGTTTGTTTGGTTTGTTTTTGGTTTTTTTAATAATAAAACAGGTCAAAAAGATGACTTCACATCTTACCTGTTAAAGTGAGATGGTGAGTGGTAGGTTACCAACTGCAGCAGGCTGGAGCAATCCAGTGTAACAAAGGTTACTGTGAAACTAATAATCTGGGACACTTCAAAGAAACTAAAATACTGCTGGAATGTCAGTTTTAAAAAGAAGTGAAGATAAGTAAGTTAGGTGTTTTTAGGCTAATTACTGAAGGAATATCTTGAAGGTGGCTAATTTTAGCCACAATCTAGCAGCTTAAAAACCCAACTTGAAGTATGCTCCTGTATAATTAAAGAACAGAAACTTCCAAAAATTCAGAATCTTGATATAAAACTGAAAGATATGTAATATCATTATATGTGGTTAATAGGGGTTTTGAGTGACACTGCAGTGCAAGCTTGTAAATCGGAAAGATAAACAGGCATTTTTGTATGTTTTAGTTTCAAATACAAATTGTCTGGATTAAAATGTAATTGTGTTCTTAAAACCAAATATCACAGGTTTATGGTTGGAGTGATCTCCAGCTCCCAAAAATGGAGACCTGGACAGTATCTCAAGAGACCATTTAAACTTAATGCAGTAACAGATAATGAGGTTTCTCTGGTCCCTCCCTGGCAGGTGTTTAGTCTTAAAATTCTCCACTGAATGGAATTCAACAGCTCCGTGGATGTTTAATTTTCCTGTTGAAGTTTCTGACAATATATTCTGCATCTTCCATATTTCCAGAATAAGCTGGTATCTTTTATTTTTCCCAAAGTAAGCACCCTAAACTACTGTTGGATACCCTCTTTGTAAAAATATCTTAAATGCTTTCCTTTTAGATCTAAAGAAACTTTGTTCTTTTTAGCCTGGCATTGTGGACTGGTTCATTCTTGCTGATTTTATTAAAAATCTTAGTTTCTGTGTTTTATATATATGATCTAAATTGGAAATACCATTCCAGCTATGACCTGTTAGGTATTCACAAAGATCTCTCCAGCAATTTTCCTTTTCATTTCATCTCATTGACTTCGTACACATCTCTAGCTTGGGATCATCTTGCCAGTATTGAAGCTGTCTTACCATTGCAACTCATTTTAGTGTCATCTACAGACCCTATGAAAGTGCATTTGCGTTGGTTTTGGCTGGGGTAGAGTTAATTTTCTTCATAGTAGCTGGTATGGGGCTGTGTTTTGGATTTGTGCTGAAAACAGTGTTGATAACACAGGGATGTTTTCGTTACTGCTGAGCAGTGCTTACACAGGGTCAAGGCCTTTTCTGCTTCTCACCCCACCCCACCAGCGAGCAGGCTGGGGGTGCACAAGAAGCTGGGAGGGGACACGGCTGGGACAGCTGACCCCAACTGGACAAAGGGATATTCCACACCATATGACGTCATGCTCAGCATATAAAGCTGGGGGAACCAAGTGTTTTCTCACTTTTATTCTTCCGATTCTCTCCCCCATCCCACCGGGGGGGGGGAGTGAGCGTGTGGCTGTGTGGTGCTTAGTTGCCGGCTGGGGTTAAACCACAACAGTATTGTACTCCTCTGTTGTTTGTAGTAAGGATTATTAGAACTACGGAACGGAACTAAACTTGGGATGTATTTCAATAGGACACTTAAAGCTTTTTCAGGACACTTTTCTGACTGCTGTGAAGCTTTACAAAAAATAAGAGCTTTCACTTACTTCTTCTCTTGTATATGTGGAATTGTGTTGATGTGTTAGTTTTTCTGTCAATTGCCTGTTATCTTTTTACCTGATGCTTATAAAGTGCTAACTTGTAAAACTATTTAAATTGCCAGATTTAGACGTTGTTTTCATAAATAGCTTTGAAACTGTAGCAATTCTTTTCCTAAGAAAGATAGCTTTTTATTGTTGTTACTTTGTTTTTATTCAAATGTATTGACTTGGGCTAGTTTAGCCTGTGTATTTTCATTTGGTGCTCTTGTTTTTCTAACCAGAAAAAATTGTATTTGTACATGGTTTATATAACTGCTTATACTGGTAAACAAGCAGTTACTCAAATTCTTAAATTTTATTATGTTACTGTGAATGATTTTTTTGTTGTTCTCCTGTGCTCTCTTGAGGAAAGAGCTCAAATGATTTTAGAAGTTATTAAATAACAAACTTAAATTATATTGCATTTATTACTGCATATTAAGGGATGTATTAGTACATATATATTTTGCCTAGTATGTGTGTTTTAACTGTTAGTGAATGGAACATAGTGTTGCTGGTCAATGTGTTCTTCAGAGCTGTAAAACTTAGAGATGTTTTTTTTGAACCTATTTTTATCCATTATTATATGAAGAAGAAAACCAGTTTCCTGCTTGTTCAGTTTGTAATTGATTCCTCAGTTTCACATGGCCTAATTGTTTAACTGCAGTATTTTGAATAAATTGACTTGAAGCAGTAAAATAGACTGCCATCAGAGAGTAATTTAACGCTGTAATATACTTTGTTTTGGTGAGGAAGCGAAGGACCTGGCCAGATTAGTAGATTATCTTCCTTAAAAAATTAGGTATTCAGTATGTTGTTCATACTATAGTTTTAGTCAATTAAAGTTAATTTAAGTTATAGATAACCTAAGACTTAACAGAGCTTTGTAATTAAAATCCTAGGTAGTTTTTTTAACAACTAGGTATTTTTTGAGAGTTGCATATTCTTAGAGATAGTTCCCTTTTTTTTTTTAATTTCCTTGGTTTTGATAATAGGCAGATTTTTCCAGTTTTTATTGGTGGATGTTTATGATACATGAATTAAGTCAAAATACTGACTGTGTTTTATTCTATCCTAGGTGATTTGCAAGTCAGATGCTCCTACAGGGGATGTTCTGCTTGATGAAGCTCTGAAACACATAAAAGAGACCCAGCCTCCTGAAACAGTACAAAATTGGATTGAACTGCTTAGTGGTAAGCGTGGACTTAGTGTATTTGCCTTTTTTCCCCCCAGTAAAGCTAATTATCTGGTATCACTAGAGATGATACTGTAAGGTTTTTGGGGAGAAAGTATGCAAAAAAGTTAATTAGTCTGTCCTCTAGGGTAGTCTCTTGTTGATTGTAGCCTTTAATCAAATATAAGTAACTGTTGCTTTTGACTTAACTTGGTACAGAAAGGATCTATCTGGAAGTGTCAGAGGACATCTCAACTCTGTGAAAGAGGTACTTTCCACTGACTGAAGTAAATCAGGACTGCACCCTGGAGATATAACTGCCTTTCTCTGTAATTGGAAATGAGGGTTAGTGGAAGTTTGGAGTATAGGTGTATGGATTCAGTATTCCGATCTTTTGATAAAGAAAGGAGATAAGGAGCTCACCGCTGAGATGTAAAAATTGAGGATGATTTGGCCATTAATCATAAAGAAACAATAAAGAGTCAGGAGTTCTATTTTTCCATTAACTGGAGAAAGGTAATAAACATTTTCAAATGTTAGATACCTCTCGTTCAAAACAAAGTCTTCAAGGTGAGTATGTTGCACACAGCTGTTCCTGTAAAGCTAGTAAGTTGTTGCCCCCCCCCCAAAAAAAAAGTCAATTAGATTTCATCTTTACAGTTGCAGTTAACGTTTTTCATATACCTCACCAACAGTTGTATCCTCAGGATGCATAAATCAAACTGAAATTAACAATGACCATCTTTTAACATGTAGTGCTTTTATTGTTGGTCTTTTCTGTAGCAAGAATTCATCACCAGGGTTTGTCTGTTTTTACAAAACACATAAAATGCAGTTTCCTTGGAGTAGATCAGAGCTGTACTTCAGTTGCGCAAACAGTGCAGGAAAAAAACCCACTGTTTTGTCAACAAGACTGTGGGAGCTAGGAGGTAATCAGACTTGAAGCTGTCTATCTAAATCTGTTACTTGTAACAACCGATAAGTAAGAGTTTCAAAAATGAGCAAAGTCTTTCCACCTTCCTCTGCCTTCCTGTTTTCATTATGTTCTTTCCTTTTGTCCTGTACCACCTTAAACGGCCTTCCTTGCACATCAGTTCATACTCCTGTCCTTCCCATCCTTCCCCTCTTGCTCCTTGACTGTCAGGCAGAGGGGCAGACAGGAGAACAAAGCAGTCCTTGTCAGTAGGGGGCATGGCTGCTGCATAGCCTTGTGGTTCAGTTCTTGCTCAGCTCTCCTTCACTTTTACGGTCTGCAAAAACAATCCATTTTTCTTGTCCCAAATACATAATTTGTGCTGACATTTCACCTTCTCTCCCAGTGCAGAGCACATTAAGTTAGTACTGATTCAAAAAAGGTTAACTAATGAATGAACAATGTTGTAGTTTTCTTTAAGTTAAGCTGAGGTTTTTCTGACCCTGCTGAGCTTTGGCTCTGGGAAGATAGTTCTCATCAGTGCTGTGGCTAAGACTTGCATCAATCATTTTTACTTACATGTGGTTATTAATTACTAGTTCTTGGATGGCATTAGGGTTCTTTGCATTTCCCATGGTTTAGAGAACTGCCCTTTGAAGAAAAATATTTTGGCGTTTTGTTTGGTTTTTTTATAAACTCTTTAGAATTTTGCTTTAGAGCCTGATCCTGGAAAAATAGCTACTCTATCTGATTGTCAGCAATGTGAAGAATGCTGCTTGAAGTTACAGTACATATGAGTTCAAAGCCATCATGGAAATATTTATATGGACGTGTAAGGTGATGTTTGCCAAGCTGATGTTGTTTGTAAGATAGCCTCTAAGCGAAGCAAGTGTAGGGAATTCAGAAGCTTGGATCAAAATGTCAGGTCTTCCTGTAGATGTAACAAACATCTGTCTGTTTGGACAAGCAAGCGTCTGTGTAATTGAGGAGATTGGTCACAAGGTGTCACCACAGTACTGATTTTTACTACCGTATAGCCACATCCACCTAACAAATGTAGAAAAATCTAGGCAATAGCCTTTGCTCTGTGAAACACTGTAAGGAAACTACTTTTTTCTGTGTGTGTGATTTGTTTCATTCATGGTCAAGCTGGGAAATCATATTCTATGAGGTGTGGGACCTACAGGGACTTGTGTGGTTCGGGCCTGGGTGGGTTCTCTGCCTTTCACTATGCAGTTGGTGTCACCTCATTTGTTTACTTAACTTGGCTGTTACTTGGATACAGTGTATGTCACTCTCCGTCACAGTGGGAGAAACCTTGAAGTCAACTGTGTTTTTTATTATTACTATTGTATGTTAACCAATGAATTTTTAAAAAGCTTTCCGATACAGAAACAAAGTAGTACAGAAATTCTCCTATCCTTTATAGAAAACCCCCATCTGTGTAAGAAATACTTTATGTTGTTTCTTTCCTTGCCTCTTGAAATGCATAGACTCTTTTGTATCAGGAGGGGATTTTAGTACTTGTGATAAATACTTAGGTGGGCTGGACCTAAAAATTTTAGCTTGTTAAGTAAACTCTTAAGCAAAGGTGGATTTCTCAGTGCTTAACAATTTTAGCTTTATCAGTAGCTGTTGATGCTGATTTTGTGCTTTTTAAATTCCCTCCTCTATGCACACACAGTCACGCACTCTGAAGGGCCAGATTCTCCTGCCTTAACAAAAAGCATTAAAAATAATTTTTATAGAAACATTAAAGCCCCTGCCCAACATGTGCTCCTGTGTACACACACACTCACACAGTGCATAGTCGCTGTTTCACCTGGTGGGGGCGGGAAGGGAGAGAAGAATGAAAACCTGAAGAAACGGAGAAATGCACAAGATAGGTGTGCATTAGCTTGTCTCTGTGGCAGAAAGAAAGGCAATGACACTTCTTCCAGTCTCTGAAATGGTGAAAGGCTGGAAGCAGACAAATGCACAAGACTGGAAGAGATGCTTATTTTTATTATTGAAAGTAACCTCTCTCTTCATGACTGGTTTTTGGTTTGTTTGTTTTTTTTTTCCTTTAGTGCAAGACTGCTTATTTGTCATATTCTTAATCAAGACATGGCTTAGCTAGCATTTCATCCAAACTTTAAACGTACAGTGGAGCTCCTCCAAGGAGGCTCTCATGGTCTCTGTCTCTATGCCTATATCTGGGTAGGTCAGAGATCAGAGAAATGCTGACATTAGCACAGTATCTTAGTGTAATAGTCAGCTATATGAATTTGACAGCTCATTCTGCACCACAGGGAGGGGGGGGAAATCACTGTAATAGTACAGCTTAAACTTTGCCTGACTGAGTTTTTTGCTTGCTTTTTTAGGTGAAACATGGAACCCATTGAAGTTGCACTACCAGCTACGAAATGTCCGTGAACGGTTAGCTAAAAATCTAGTGGAAAAAGGTGTACTGACAACAGAGAAACAGAACTTCCTTCTTTTTGACATGACTACGCACCCTCTCACCAACAACAATATCAAACAGCGCCTCATCAAGAAGGTTCAGGAAGCAGTTCTTGACAAATGGGTGAATGACCCTCACCGCATGGACAAGCGCTTGCTGGCACTTGTTTATTTAGCCCATGCTTCAGATGTTCTGGAGAACGCTTTTGCCCCCCTTTTGGATGAGCAGTATGATTTAGCCACAAAGAGAGTGCGGCAGCTTCTGGATTTAGACCCTGAGGTTGAATGTATGAAAGCCAACACAAATGAGGTTCTGTGGGCTGTTGTAGCAGCTTTCACAAAATAACTGCATTCAGACTGAAGTGTTCTCTCTTCTTTCATGTAAACCAGTTGTTTCTCTTCTATTGACTATTCATGTTTTCTGTAATTTGTACCTTCTCACATGATGAATCGACTCTTGTTTAATGGGAATTTTAAGTGGTGTATTCCCTCCTTCTCTGTGTATCTGTATACAGGATTCTGCTGGTACAAGAGACCTTCCTGTTCAAAAACAACAGAAAAAGGTTTTACTGCCATATTGGCATTCCATTTCCTATTCAGTTTGAGTTATCTGAAATACTTTGTTTAATCTATTTTTCATCTTATTGTTATTGAAGTGGTTTAACATGGAAAGCACCTCAAGGAGGAAATGTGCATGCAGTTGGACCACTAGTCTCAGCTGACACAGATGTGTGCATGCATCAATACTTCTGCAGTACAATTCATAACAGATTAAAAAGGGCCTTTTTAAATCACCAAAGCTCCATGTTGAAGTGTCTGTCAGGACATTTTATACACAGATGTTGTTTCAATTATATCTGACAAAATTACTTTAAAAGCAGAAACGCCATTAAGCAGCTTTGTCAGTAGTTCCTGTAAAATGCCCATAAATTTTGCTTTTCATGCAAGTGTCTTGTGTACTTATATTTTCATTAGAACGATAGCTGAGTCATAAGGCTAGTATAGAAAGGTCCAATTGTTTCATAAACCGGTTTTGGGATGGGATACATTCCATTATATTGTATATATAGTTCAAATTGTATATTAACAACTGCCCCATCTTAGTATTTTGCAAGATCTACTTAGTTGTACACCTGGTGCCCCTTATTTGCTGTCAGGCATTGCCATTCGATGGAAAGAAAGGCCTCCTGTAAAGAGCATGTATGTGAAAACTGTTTGTTTCCAGTGTCTACAGAGTTTGCCATCCAGGTATTCTCAGTCTATGCATTGCCTTTGATAATTAGTGTACAGAAAGAGACCACTTTCTATCATTGTTTGTACTTCCCATCCCCACCCCCCCGTATGGAAGAGGCTTGTGACCAGTACAATTCTTGAGTGCAGTTTTCAATTTTGTACACAAATTAATGTTTGTCTCTTAAACCTCATAATCTATTTTACACTTTAAAAACAAAAAGTCAGTCCTAGCAGGTGTTGCATGTAAATGATTAGCAAGTAATGACTGCAGTTCAGATGATTAAGATATCTGTAATGGGACGCTCTGCTATACTTTAATTTTTTATATACAGTTACGCTGATTAGCACACTATTGTAAAAAAAAATATATAAAACTTTGGCTTTTTAAAATTTATTGCCTCTTTGCCACTGCTTGTTATCTCCCATCGTTTTCACAGTGTAAATATTATGCATTGAAAAAATTAAGCATTGATTTTATATTTTTTTTTTCCCCTCATAACAATGCAGACTTATAGTGGGGCTTACAGGTGTTTAGAAACTTTTTTGGTTAATACTCAGAGCAAGAATACTAGATGGTGTATAACTGTAGAGTTGAAATTTAAGGGATCCCTTAATCTGTATACTAGCTTTTTACCTACAGTAAATAAACTATGATCTTGAAAGTGCCTGAAACAGAGCAAGCATGTCATTTTTATTTTTTGTTGCTAATTAGAAAGGTTTTATTGCTTAACTGAAAGCTTTAGTTAATATCCTTCTTATTAGAAAGGGAGAGTTTATATTAAGTAGATCAAACTGACCTAATCAGCGGTGTCGCTCAGATCTGCAGGATTCATGGCTGAGACAGACTGACTGAGCTTGTGAGTGTGCAGTTGTGCCTGCCATGGGTAGACCTCTTCTATCTTGAGCAGAACTCTACAGCCTCATCTGTGACTGGACTTCCAATTTTGCACTTCATTTTCAATCATTTAGATGCTTAAGTAGACGACTTTGAAAGACAACTTAAATTCATCATACCTATATAACCTTTTTTTAATAAAGGTTTTTAAAATATGTTCCTTAACATTTAATGGCACACTGTTCTTTCAGTTCTTAAATGCTGTTTCTTTAGAAAAATGAAATTAAAAGTATATTGTAAAATTTCAAACTCTGGTTTACAAATAAAAAGACAAACAGTGTTCTCTCAGTTGTAAGATGCTGTGTTTAAAACTTTGAGGAGCTTGGGCATGAACTTCGGACATTCTTTTAAACATTTCAAAACGTGATTGCTTTAAGTGGAGGAAAAATGAAAGTTGCTGTGTTGCTCTTACATTTGGCAGCTTATAGAATACTTTCTGTACTTGATACTATATGCTAACTCACTGCTTTCATTGTCTCTCTCTCTCCTGTGATCTGTTTCCTCATTTTCTGTTGCTCTTTGAGAGGAGAGAAAAGTAATTAGGTGGAAAGGTCAGAAAAACAGTGGAGTATTCAGGAGCAAGTTAAGTGCACAAAACTTTTAAAATGGCTTTGAAAATCTAAGCTACTTGAAACATGCTTCAGACTGAAAGTATCTTTCATAGTCCCTTTTCTGTCCTCTCGTTTTCATTCTGTGAGTATTCTCCATGTTCCTGCTGGTTTCATGTTAGGTTGTGGAGGATATTGGGGTTTTGTCACCCTTACAGCCAACATGGTTTAAAAGAAGTCACCCTTTAATCCCCCCCAGAAAGAGGATTTGGGTTTTTTATTTCTTTCACATAGAAGATAACTGCCTACAGTATTTATCAGCTTTATTTTGCTTAAAGATAGAACCTCTGCCTGAGATGGGGATAGTTTGTACTGGGTATATCAAAGAACTTTGATGTAAGTAATAAAGGTTTTGTGAAGAGCAACAGTGTCTTTTGTTAGACCACCTGGTATAAGCCCAAAGGTGCAGGGGAAATAGATGAGCTTTTGGAGTCTTGAGTCCTATGTTGTGCTTTAAAAAACCCAAAGCCTCACGAGTGCTACCAGACCTTATGTCTAACAAGGAAGGTAAGTTTGGTAGGTTAGCAGGGGATGATTCAGCTAACATCCTTGCCTTCATTGCTATTTCAGGTTCTAATAAGATGGCTAAGCATGGCAGACTGCTTTGTTCTACTGAGATTCAGGTACCCTTCTTCCTATTAGCTGCTACTGCAGCTCACAGAGACCTGGTTTTAAGACAGTTTTGTCTGCTCCGAGTCCTCAGCTCTCAATGGCTGCTTAAAGTGAAGACTGCTATCCATAGCCTGAACTCGAACATGTGCCTCAAGGAAGAATATGTATTATTCAGGGACACATTCTTTTAAAACAAACTTTGAAGTTAATGTCAAAAACAGGATTTTGAAAGTTAAATCCCCAAGCAGTATGTGTGTGTGTATGTATATATATATGTAGTTTTACAGTCCTTGAGATTTACATCCTCCTGTGTTTCTGGAGATGATGTTACAGTGCTCCTATATGGGATGCTAGTGAAACCTGTGTGCCATACATGATGCTTTTGAGGCAAAAGTTGCATAAATTGACTATAAAAGGCTGGTGACTGAGTGCTCATGTTCATGCCCATTTCTCCTACAAAGTGAAGATATGTATTAACTAATGTGTTCTCTGTGAACTGGACTGAATCTGTACTGAAACAAAATAAAGCACCCTTCCAAGCTATGAGCTGCAAATGGTTACTGCGTATCACCTGCATGCAATACCTAAAGGAATTTTTTCTTTCATTTGCTATGTAATTTCCAGTTTTTCCTGAGGCTCTGGTCCTCACCATTTTGGGAAACAGAACTTTAAGATTTCAATCAAAGCCTCTGTTCTGCCTCAACTGGCCTTCAGGCACTTGAGGTAGTCAAAGCCTGTTATGTCCTAGTTTCCCCTATTGTCCATCTATCTTTCTATATGGAAGGGGGGGGGTTCCAGCTTCAGAGAAGTACAAATTTCTTGAAAAAGTAACTGATTTATTCTGTGGTAATGCTTAATGTATACAACAGTTTAACTACTCAGGAAATGAGATGATGTCAAGTGCTTTGTAAGTGTCAAATATAAAGTGTGATTTCAGGTGTGTGTAGGAGGTGGCCTCGGGTAGGAGGGGAGGAGAATCTTTGGACGGGGAAGAAGCATGGTCAGAGCTGCTGCCCATGTTAATCTCTGAGTAAGATCTCGAGTATCCTCCCATTGGGTCTTGTTTTCTCCTGCCTACAAAGCAGCAGCACGAAGCCTGTGAAAAGCTGACAGTAAGAAATGCCTTCTGACTCAGGAGGAGAAAGAGCTGAGAGAGTTTTCTGTAGAAACAGTGAGAAGAAAAGCTGGTTCCTAAGACAGCAGAAAAGAATAGGGAAAGAAATGCTGATAAGTAGTAGCCTTTGGCTTCCCTCACCCCAACTTTCTGTACTTCCAAACAATTTGCTGTTCTGGCTTTTTTCTCTTGGCTTTGGCCCCTGGTCTTCTCTGTTTCTTCTCTTTTCCCTGTTACTTGGTGACTTCCTCTTTCGCGCTTGTGAATGAGTTGTACTCATTTCCAACCTTAGATGTTTCCACTCTTGCCTTTTTATTACTAATCTTTTTTTGCTCTCAGTTTTACTGTCAACTCAAGCTTGACTCTCCATTACCCTGTCCTCATCAGAGTCGCTTTCCCCTCTGCTTTGATTCCCTGCTGGTGCCTCAGGGAACCTCCCCTTCTTCAACAAATCTATTTGTCAATACCAGCTGCCTCAGTGGCTGAACTGAAGCAGCTGGCCACCTGCTACAGCTTATAACATGTGGTTTGTTAAGGTGAACAAAACCTGGTGCTAATTTACCTTGAAACTGCTCTTTGCCCACTTCAAAAGCAAGCTGTTGTCCATGCAGCAGGGTGGACTTGCGGCTGAGGATCGTGATTTTGCCATTTCTCTAGTGTAAGTAGATCTTGTTCTGGAGCCAGTGCTCTAAGGACTTGCTATCTCTTACTCAAGCTTTTCCTACAGTGAGAGCATTATATACAAGAGTAATTTTCCCTTTTGGGCTCTCTGATTGTTAAAAAAAAGTTGAGTTTGTGTTGCAGCTCAAAAAAGCATCTTCTCTATTCAGCTATTTATTTTGATGGAAGTTGTAGACAAATTATTTGGAAGGTTTCTTTACTTCTATTTAATTTGATTAAAAGGGACAAGTGGGAGAAGAAAAAGGCACAGATATACTTACAATGTGATCACATAAGCTGTTTTCTTGGCAAAATAGACTAAAATATTTTAATTTTTCATTTTTGCTTTCTTTACTCCCAGTACATAATTCAGTTCCTTCCCATCTAGTGCATCTGATGTCTGCCCAGAAAGGATTTGCCATCATCTAATGCACTAGTCCTTCAGGATTTATCATCTGTTGCCCCTTGCTTTTGTATATTTATTCAAATCTTGGATTTTTTTCTCCCTTTGCCCTGGGATTGATCTTGAAGGTAGGAGTTTGGAGAAGACTTTGGTGGTTGTAAAGCAAAATGACAGGCTGTTCATAAGCTTTCTTTGCCACTGCCAGGGCATCTTTATAGGTCCTTCTTTGTTTCCTCTCTGTTCAAATGAAACCAAATCATGTCTTAACCAGCTTTTAAAATCCTGCTCTGACTCCTTAAGCTCCTGAGGACCTCAGTCACTTCTGAAAATAAGATTTAGCTAAGTCATGTATAAGTTTCACAATGCTAAACAGAACAATGCCTACACACCATTAAAAATCTCAGACCCTGTATTCAGAGGACTTGCAGAAAGAATTTAGCAAAACCAGATCGTTTCTCCAAGCAGCAATCTTGCAGTAACCCACCTCAGCTGTGACAGTAAGCAGAGCCTTTGATGGAGAAGTCACACTGGTGCCTGAACAAAAATTGGTCCAAGGGAGCTTCCTCTGCTGGAAAGGTCTGAGATTCCTGAAGCCGTTAATCTTATGCAATGTTCTTAATGACATTTTGAAAAGATCTTGTATGGATACATGCTTCATTACTCTTTTCACCCCTGGTGAAAGTGGAGTTGGCCATGGGCCAGAGGCTAGGAAGAGTTGCTGCCTCTCAGGTGATGTGGGAGCTGCTCTCCATCCAGTTAGGCCATGAACTGTAATAGCCGTGATAGACCTGAGCATCTTCCCCTGCAGGTTGCTCTCTCAGTGGTCCCAGCCCATGTGTGCCAAGGACATCTTTGGTGTCAAAGAGTTTCTCTGAGCATGGTAGAGGGGACTGGAGAGCTGTGCATTGAGGGGTCTGGCTCGTGCCCACCAGTCAATACACTGCAGATGTGTCTGGGGCTGCGCTTGTGCCTGCGTGGGAGCAGAACAGCTGGCTGTTCACAAAGGTTTCATCATCCAGGAAAACACCACGTCATGCGGGTGAGCGGTTGTACTTGAAAAAGGGAGTGCGTGTGACCTTCCTTAAACTGGAATATGTACAAACAAAACAGGCCTGAAATAAAATGCAATTATAAACACATTTGGAATAACAACTGAGGTCTGTTTGTTTGATACATTGGAAGCAGGAAATGGAGCTAAATTCACTGCATTAATAAATGTCTTGCTGTAAATACGTTGTTTGATGTTAGGCACTAGCTATTGAGAGCTTCCTTCTGAGATCCAGCTGAAGATTTACACACATTCTAATATACCCAAATCTGAGACGCTCAGCCAAAGACATACAGAATCCCTTCTGTACGAGCAGCACTGCAGGGGAATTTGTACACAGCATTTATAGACATTTAAACTAACTTCTTACGTTTTTCTTTAGGAGTAAACAAAGTTGTCTTTTGATCGTACTAAAGTATCCTCTTTCTTTTTTTTTTCTTTCTTCTGTAGAGAATGGGCAGGACCTGCTGCCAAGATCACATATGGCTAACAGTCAGCACAAGGGTTAAGGATTTGTGAGCCATGAACAGCAGAAACATCTGGCACATTTTCATTTACTCTGCACAGCGATGGAGAGAAGTGACCATTATGGCAGCCTTAATGGAAGTGTATCTTCAGAAGGCAATTACTTAGAAGATAACTAGAGGTACGAGCAGGTTGGTGACTATCCTGCTCGTAGCGTGTCTTGCAGGTTATGTTCATCAGTGGCACAGAAAGGAGTTCAGAAAGCTGAGAGTTCACCCTGTGGGGTTACCGTAATGAACAGGGTTTGAGTCTGCTTGGTCCTCAGCCCTTTGGTTGTACAGTCAAATGAGTCCCAGCTCTCTCACATTTGTGTTTCTGAGCTGCTCAGGGCTTTGCAGATTTGCCAGTTGCCAGTTTCAGATGTGCAGCCAACTGTTAAGGCTGCCCTGGAAGCTCCTCTCCTCCCAGGCTCATCTCCTCTCCAAAGGCTGGAAGCCCTATGCCCGTAAGCTTCCTGCACCCAGCATTGGAGATCTAGAAGGTTCACAAAGGAGCTGCACATATGCTGTTTCCAGATGAGGCAGCCCATAGTGAATACCATGGGTCCATCAATAAGTGAGGGAGACAACCAAGTGACATGAAATATGGAAAACGCTGATGTACTCTTCTTTGCCTGCACCAGAGCTTGGTGTGTGCCCCGACAGCTCGGGATGGAGCAGGGAGGCCTCTCAGTGACTGCTCGGGAAGGCTGGATATACACAGAACCATAGGACTGGATGGGATTGACCCCAAGGGGCT